GGGGGTATGAACTGATTGGGTGGGAGCTTGGCTGTGTTCTGATTGGGTGGAGGTGTGTTCTGATTGGTTAGGGCTTGTCTGTGCTCTGATTGGATGGGAGGGTTGGCTGTGCTCTGATTGGATGTGGGAGTGTTCTGTTTTGGTGGGGGTTTTGTTGTGCTCGGGTTAGTCTGAGTTGCAGGGGGGATTTGAGATGGTGAGTTGCATTGCTTTTGTTTGGCTTCATGTTGGTGGTCGTGCCTCATCTTCATGGTGGGTGTCAGTTTGCTTCATGTATGGATTGGAGGGGGTTAAAGTGGCTAATGAGGCAGCTGTGGTCTGGCTTCTGGTTTGTGATCATGCCTCATCATCGGTGTGGGTTTGGGTTTGCTTTTTGCGTGGATGTGTGGTGATGACATCCTATGTGGTTTTCGTGAGTGTGGGTCTGGTGTCATTCTTTGTGTTAGGGAATCATTTGTCAATAAGGGTGGGTTTCCAAATGGCTGGTAGGCGGGAGGTATCATCTCGTTTATTCATGCTGTGTGGGCATTTTTCTATCTCGATGGCTTCTCTATTATTCTGTTATTAAAGTGTTCAGTTTTGGCAATAGTTCTGGTCTTTTTAAAGTCAATTTCATGTCCTGTGGCTTTAAGGTGTTGGACCAGGAAAGAAGTTGGTTCCTCTTTTTTGACTGAGTTCTTGTGTTCTTCAATGCGTGCACTTATTCTTCTGTTGGTTTGTCCGATGTATGTGGTGGGACAAGCAGTGCATGGGATTTCATATACTCCTTGATTTTCTAACTCTATTTTGTCTTTAGGGTTTCTTAAGATGATGGATATTTTTCTGTTTGTGCAGAATGCTGTCTTGATGTTGTGTTTGTGGAGGATCTTGCTGATTCTCTCTGAAGTGCCTTTTATGTATGGAAGGAGGGCTTTGCCATTTTCTTGTTCTCTGTCTTCTCTGTCTCTGTCTTTCATACCCCCACTGGCAGTTAAAAGGAAGAAACAGCTACGATCACACATTGCTCCTAGAAGCACGAAGCTGAAAACACCAGCCTGAAGATGACTAATGGGACTTCATTGAAACGTCGCCAAGACACTTCCAATTTTACGTGGGAGAAAACCCGAATAACCGAAGACCTACATACAAACACCTACTAAAACCTCAGAATGTGTGTGTGTGTGTGTGTGTGTGTATACATATACATACACATAGATATATACATACATACGCACATACACATATTTCTGCATATGCTTTTCTTATCCAGATGTGTTTGTGTGTGTGTATGTTTGTGTGTGTGTATCTTAAATAGTTTTGCTCATTTCTGAAATAAAACTTGTTTTACTGTGTAACTGGTACTGTTTACACAATGTTTGGGATATGCTTTGCAAACAGCACCAGTTACATAGTAAAAAATACACTTCTATTATCTATAGAATATCACACCAGTAATTCACACTAGCATACATTTCATGCCAATTTCTTGTCCCATATTATATCTGCATAGTGGAATGTTTTACTGTTGTATGACTTCTAGCTTCCCATCCACCTAATTTTTAAATGTAGGGTCGAACCCCTAGTGGTTTGGCAAATAAAATCAAGACTGGTATCATATGACTTTATCATTTTAGTGGCATTAGCAAATTACTCATCAAGTTGTTAATCAGCTATTATTTCTTCAAAACTGCAGAAAGGATGTTTATTCTGCATGAGTGTCTTCTTCTGATTCTTGGGGAGGGGGGGTGTTAAATAGACTTCTGAATAATAACACCAGCTGTCTCTTGCTAACATCTTGGTGAGGCAGTCCTTATATTTAGAAACATTGGAGAATTAATGAGGACAAAAGACAGAAAGTGATTAGACAGATCCTGATGGGGTTTCAAAGCAATTAATTATTCTGAAAAACAAGAAATAATTAAAATATGCTGCTTGGAAATCTCCAGTGAAATACTGCATCTGTTGTGACACTTTAGCCTCCCTTCACTTATTCTTTTTGCTTGCTATTAAAATTCAAAAATACACATTTGGTGTGCAATGTGCATACTATTAATCTATCAAATGGAGAGAAAGAAATTACATATAAAGCATTAATTTTAAATGTAATAAAGAAGCACAGTAGGAAGTATTCATTAATGGATGGTGAAGTCTTTAGGCAAAGTAGATTCCCATGTAGCTATCTTTCACGTTCATTAACATCCCAGCACCTGATTCAAATAAAATTAATCACTTTAAAATCAGGTGGATTTGGATAAGAATGTTAATCAGTGTCAGAATCCAATTATATTTCATCTTTAATCATCAAATATAGAAAACCCCAATTCTGCCTCCTCTGGATTCTGCCATAAGAGGGAGAGAAGGGGGAGAACAAAGGGGCTTTATGGCCCTCACTTCCTTCAGTATATTTCTAAGGATTTGAGTGTGTTTATTGCAACTTCAAAGAATGTAGTTAGCACCAAAGAACCTTACCATAACAAAGGGGCTATTTACCTTTCATGTAGTTTATCTGAAGTCTCCATCCAGATGGAAGAAAGGAGCAAAGGGGTGGAATTGTGATGCATGAAACTATCACTGGAAGGGGGGGTGATTGGGTGGGACTGCTGGGGAACCCCTTAAAATCTTGAATGGGAGAGCTTGGACCCCAAGTTCTGTCTAGCACGCCTGCAACCACTTCTTCTTAATAAAGGATTCCTGTTGGAAGAATTATTCCAAGAGTTCTGTCTTCTTAAGATGCAAAGTGGGGTGGGTCCTTACATTCAGATTTAAAAAAAAAATAAAAAATCCAGTCACCAGAATCAATGAAATTATGAGTGATCGGTTCCTGGATGCACAACCATTTGTAAGAAATGGTTATATGGCACTCTTTTTCTCCAAGGGGAAAACCAAAAGTTCTTTAAAACTGAAAATTTATTTCTGAATCTCAAAGCTGAATTTTTTTTATATTAAATAATGTTCAGCTTTTAGTCCTTGGAAGCAGATTTTATTGGCTTCAGTAGAAATATACCTCAAACAGGTGCCTATGATTTAACCACAGTGTTTCAAAAGCAAATTTTAATAAGCAAATTTGAATTTGTACTAATTTCAATAATTCCTTAAAACAGGGGGGTTAAACTGCTAGCCCACGGGCCGAAGGCATCATTGGGAAACCACGCCCACCCCACTCCTGGCAATGGCAAAAAAGCTCCGATACATTGTGCGACATCACGTGACGTCACGAGTTTGACATGTCTGCCTTAAAATAAAGGATATCCATGGATCAGGACTAGGCTTAGTCTCCATCTCAAATAATAGTCTACCAGGTATGCTAGGAACTCCACAGATTAGAAATCAAGAGACCTACGTTTCTCATTATTGCCCCCATGTACCTAGCATGCAAAGTGGGGAAGGAGCCTGAGTTGTCAGCCAAGCAACCTAGCATGCAAAGAGAGAGACTAACTAGACGTCTGGAAGCAGCCTCAGTCAAAACTAGTAGCCATTGATTTACATTCACAAATTTGATGTATTCACATCAGTTTTAAATCTTCTAATAGTTTCCTTGAAGGCCCTCTAGTTCTGTAATTTTACAAACATCAATTCAGTCTCGTAAAATATTTTTTTTCTCTATGCTAAACAGTTCTGCCTGTAGCTACTGTATGTTGAATTCATATGGAAGGTGGTCAAGTCCCATGATGATCCTGTTTGCCCTCTTTTATGTCTTCATTAACTTGACAATATCCTTTTCAGATGTAATGATCAAAAAGGTATGCAATATTCTAAATTTGGTATAACACAGATTGGTATGGTACCTTTATTATATTAACTGATTTATAACTGCCTCTTTTCTAATGCCCGCATCACAGAATTTCCTTTCTTTATAGCTGTTATACATTGTATAGATTATTTCACTGAAGTATCTACAAAGTTCCCAAGATCTGTTTATGCAGTTGGCTACTGACAGTTCAGTTCCCATTGTATGATTAGTGAAGGAGAAATTCCAAGCTTCAAACTTCACACTTGCTACCCCTGAATTGCATTTGACATTTTTTAGCCCAGTCACCAAAACTGAAACACTTTTGGAGCAATTTACATTCTATTTGTATTTTTACCATGCTGAAACTATTCTGGATTATCTGCAGGTTTTTCCACTTAATATAACTGCTGACTTATAGCCTCTTTAATTGAGTCCTTCAGTCACAAGCACCTTCTTATATGGGTATGAGTATCTGCATATTTATGTTTCTTTTTCTGCATCATGATATACATTCTATCCAGACTGCCATTGTGGTTTAAAATAACTTCCAAGTATTAAAAATACTGAAAATAGCTTCTTTATTTCATCTTATTTTAAGAGTAAATATTGTTTTGGCTACATTTGAATACTTTTGATTTTAATCCTGAAGTCAAACAAGCAAAAATTGTTTTGGCTTCCATTAAGTCAAATTTGATGAGCTGAGGTTGGTAAGAATTTGAAGTGTTTATATCTTGATTAGGACAAAGAGGACAATGACATTTGACTGAGATCATGAATTTTTCATACACAAAATGCCTAGATGAGTCTCCTGAGATACCTAGATATGTTTCTTCATTTCCCAATACAAGCTCAGCTTTAGTGCAGTCTGAGAAATGTTGATATTAGCTGACATTCTTTTAATAGTTATAATATGAAAACAATGTTTATGACTGCTGAATGCAAGCTTGCTATTTTTCTTCATCATTTATTCATGCAATTTTAAACATTTTTCTGCCTCTAATCTAAATCTGCAAATAGTCAGACAAGAACCTGCTCATTCTTCTTTTTAACAACATCCAAAGCAATGTGTTAATGTCTTGAGGTTTAATTGCATTGCAGTAATGCGACTTTAGGGATCTGCTGTGGGGATTGTGTTACATTTCTAAAACACTTTGGCAGAACATTAAACCTTGTCCGTAATTATGTAGCAACCGCAGAATTGTGGAATTAAACAAAGAATCATAGCACTATAGAATCACAGAAATGTAGATATTCATTTACTATGAACATGTTAAATGGAATTCCAACATACCTGCATAAGGTTGTTCCAACCCTCTTTATCAGAGTTAGAAAAATTATAGCCTGTCAAAGTTGATGAATGACAATTCCCTCTCCGCTGTCAATTCTAGAAGAGGTTGCTGGAAGGCAAAGTTCCATAGTAGATGGAAGAGCACAGATTCCCTAAGAAGATTGACACATAAATTTCCCATATGTACAAGCTTCATATTCTCTTCTATGAAATTAAGGAAATTCACAAAATGATTGTGTGAGTTTTCTATACTCATATCAAAGTATATTTTTTGTTCTTATTTCTCATGCCCTTCAAAAGTTTCTCAAGTTTCATTCAAAAAGAAAATTAATTTAGATATCTCAGAAATGATCTTGGGGAATTTTACTTAAAAACCTGAAATCTTTACATTTCATTTTTTTTATGATCTTTCATAGATTTTAGGAGGAAACTAGTCATCAAAATGTGTTTCTTTCTTATTGCAGAAGTACAGTAACACAATGAAATCTACAAGTATCTATTTCAGGTTTTTTTAATTACATATATATTTATAAGTGACACACTGAAAAAATGTCTTTTACTACAATTTTTATATAAAAAGTAAAAAGCCTAGATTTGTGGAATTTATAGTTTGAAAGCCTGAAGTAGAGAAAATTGCTTGTCAAGGATATTTGTAGTAAAATGTTTCTTGGAAATGTACATGAACAACCTGATCAAAGAAAGTTTGCTATTAAAAACTTCATGTTTTCTTGAAAGTTAAAATGTAATAGTTCTTTTTTCTTGCTATAGAACATTTTATAGAAAAACAAAAAATAAGGACAGACTGAAATACTGATTATTAACACAGATCACATTTATCACATTTATATCTTCTAACTATGGGATATTTATGGGACAGTATAAAAAAGTAATAGTGGAATATGACCATTTGATATTTGTTTATTTCAAACATAACTGGGTCCCTACCTAATAATCATGTCCACTTCTTAATCAAAAGTTGTCCTAAATATAGGATATATTGATAGGTTGGAACCTGTAACAGTGTCTAGATATTTATTTATTTGTTTGTTTGTTTGTTTGTTTGTTTATTTATTTATTTATTTAGCATATGGTGATGTTTTATTAGCCAGGAGACTGCAGTGCTAATGCAGAGTAGTGGTTTGACTGCCTAAGGCTACTAGCCCATTCTGTTCATGCTCATGTGCTTTCAAAGGTGCACTACAAGGAGCGAGAGAGCTGCACGCCAGAAAGAAAGACTAATGGCAACCTGAAGCATATCTGAGCCTTCTCCTTCCACTGAAGTCACCTGTCAAATAGGCATTGCTAGTGCTTTTTTTTTTTGAAAAAAACAAGTTGCTAGAACTCACACATGTAATACAACCCACCTTGCCTACGGTACAAGATTCCATCCAAAAAAGGTGCTGGAACTCCGTTCTGGGCATTCTATGACAAAAAAAGCCCTGGGCATTGCATCCAGGAAGTTCTGACCATCCACAGGAAGCACTCATCTTCCCACCAAAATGGTACCAATTTATCTACTTGCATATAACATGTGCCTAGTTGTTCAAATAGGATGGGCAAGAATTTTTGGAAAGACATCCTCTAAAATATACAGATCCTGATGCACATAGGTTTTCTTGATTGAAATCAATACCTTGAATTACACTTGAAAATCTACTAATAACCAGTGCATCTCATGCGGCAGAGAAGACATGTGCTAGGTATCACAATCTGTCTCCTTGTTGCATTATGGAGTAGCTAAATATTCTGAGTGGTCTTCAAGGGATAGCCCCATGTGGAGCAAATTACAATACTCTAACTCAGAGGTGACAATGTATCTTCAGTGCATTGTACTCCAAGTAATGTCACTGTTGACATACCAAGAAAAGCTCTGCAAAATCCATTCTGTCCATAATCTCCACGTGCTCTTCCAGAAAGAGTCCAGGACAATCTCCAAATTGCAAGGTTACTCTTTCCAGGGAAGGGTAAGAAATAGTATGATGCATCAGTCAACTGGACTTGGAATCAACAGACAATTGGTCTGTTTTTGTTTGACTCAAAGACTATTCTCTCTGACCCAAGCATTGCCCATATCCAGTCCATATCCATATCCAGTCATTTATATTTATCTATCTATTTAAATATCTTTCTCTGTTTTCTAAATAAAGAAATGAAGCTGCTAGTAAAGTCACTAAAATATTTTTAAAATAAAATGTTATTTATTTAGGACATTCATTAATGCATGAAAGCATTAAACATTCAGTTCAACAAAGCTAAAACATGATCAGCTGATACAGATAGATATATGGAAATCATTTATCATCTGCTTCTACTGATAATTGTTCTGGGTACCTGCATCCCTATTGTTTCTCTTCAGGGAACATCAAAACATCTAGGAACTACTGTAGTCTTGGGAAAACAAAGAACTTATCTTAATCCATCTTCTTTCATTTAGTTTCTCCACTGAAAGATGTCTTCTTCCAAGTCATCTACAACTATAATTTCCAAAAGGTGCTTTCCCATCTCAAGATCATGCTGAATATTTTGATCATGAAGTTGATTCCATGGAAAGGTTTTAACATTTTAATTTTTCTTGACACCTTGTTTTGGTTCAGTAGTGTTTTGGTTATATGTTTTGCATTAGGTGATATCTTACTATCAGAAAAGAAACAATTACCTACCCATCTACATACATACCACAGCATTTTTGGTGAAATCTAAATCAAATGCAACCTACTGTATCTCACTGAATATTGTCCATAAAGTGGATTTTGCACAAATTCTATCTGAGAACAGATTCCAGTATGTCAAAACCTTCTCTTCCTGTCATGCACATATCAGTCTAAAATCTGAATTATTTAAGTACAGTAGATGAAATTTTAGATGCACATTCCAAGACAATTTATAATTGCATTTTAACTTTTTTATTTGATGATTGTATGCTGCACAGCTTCCAATGACTTTGGGCAGTTCACAACAATCAAAGAACATGCTAAAGAACTCTCCACATATTCAGGAATGAATCAAATATTTATTTGTTTTGTTTAAAAGAAGAAAGAACTAAATCTGGGTCTACCTAGCTCTTGAACCTCAATAAGTGGTACAATTTGTTAAGTCCCATTAACAATGTATTAGTTTTCTTTCCACATCTTCACATTTTTGAATGCCTCCCTCATTTCTTACTTTTGACATTTCAAAATTACTCAAATAAATAAATGCAGGTTTGGGGGAAGGTGGAGAGGTTTTCTTTTTAAGATAATTCCCACAATTCCGAATTTAAGGTGTTTGTAGTTTAATTTAATCATCTCATCACAAAATAATGCTTCTTTGTGTTTGTAGCCTGAATGTTTTCAGCTGTTGCATTAAAAAAAAAGTCTAATCATGATATGCTAAGTCCCAGCCCTTCCTTTTCATTATCTTACAAACTTGACTGCATTATTTTCCATCTTTTAGCTTTTCTGTTTACCTCAGGTCAGTTTCTTCTTGACATGGTGGGTCCAAGTGGATTTCTAGAATTAGAAGCTTTTTAAACCACAGAGTTAATATTTCTAAATTGCGAAACATCAAAAATAAATTATTTCCTAAGTGATTTTTTTTTTAAGATTGGGAGCAAAAAATAGAAAAGAAAAGAAAAGAAAGAAAAGAATGCCTTAGTTGAAGAATCCCAAGAAAGACATAAACTCCAAATAAAACATTAAAAATTACCGATGGATTGGCTTTCTATTCAAAAGAAATATGCAGTTTGTGAGGGTGACTGAAAATGCCCAATTTGCTGTAAATGTTGAACAGTGGACTATTTCCCCTTTATGTGCATGCATAGCGGCTATTAAATGTAATGGGATTACATTCCTAGGATGAAGGAAATGTTATATCTATTGTGCTTATAAACTTGCAGCGGTTCTTTCTGAAAAGTAATGGCTGTGCTTATAAACCCACGGTGATTCTTTCAGCACAATAATGTTTCTGCAGTACCTGAAACTCCTAAATTGGAAAGGTGCCTTTTCATCATTTAATCATGTCAAAACAGTTGGAGAGGAAAGGGGGAAAAAAAGGATGTGATATAAAGTATTTACAAGTGGGTAAATGATGAAGCATCAATGTTCCTCTCCCTCCATTTCCAACAAGGCAATACACATTTATTCTGGTTTTCGGGACTCAACAGAATGCATGCTGAGTAGCAGAAAAGGGATAATAAATGAATACCTTTTAAAGCAATCTCCCACCTGCTCAAATTATTGCATTCTTGCTAATCATCTTGATGTATGCAAAGCAAAGTAAGGAATAAATAAAAACAAGATAAAACAAAGCCACATAGCATACATGAAGTGAGCAAAGGGCATATCAGGTCTGGAGCTGAAATGTTATCAGAATTTAAAATGCCTAATGATGTGATCAATTCAAATTTGAAGGCTGATACATTTTATTGCCTTTAGTGGCTCATAATGTTAGACGTTAAGAACTTTGTTCCCCAAGCCAGGCTGCAAAGGACAGCAGACAACACTTCCAGGGGCTTCAGAAAAAAAAATGTTTTATTTGCAGTAGAGTCCAAATCAGCCAGTGGGCAAGGCAGAATGCATCATTGGCTACATTGGGTCTTTCCTTACCACCTCTCATAGAATTCTAATTTAAAAGTTTAGGCCAATCATTAACCATGAAATTGTTGGCCAGTCATATGCTTCCTCCACTTATTTATGCTTTGTTAGCATGGACAGCCCACATGCAGTTCTCTCTGTCTTATTAATGATTAGTCACAATGGCTATAGAGGTGGCATCTGCAATAAACAACAATGCTTTTAAATTTTCTTTCATACAATTTTTGTTATGTATATATTTAACCATGACAGAGCTAGCCCTGTGGGGTCCCTTGTGCTTTTTGAGCCTGTTTTCCTACAGACATTTTATTATCCAACTAGGTAACACCATCAGCTGGCCCTCTTCTGCGAAATAGCCTCACTGCTGTTCATTACAATCATTTAGTTTCTTACCAGCATTTTCACTACTTTAGATATTATAATAAACAAATGTTCCAACAAGAAGAATGGCCGTTTCTCCACTGAAGGAGAAGGAGGTGATCGACTTAAGGCCTCAACTGAGCCCCAAACTACCATTGCTAAGCAAGACAGTTGTTGAGTTTTATCCCATTTCTTATCACAATTGTTAAGTGAATCACTGCAGTTGTTAAGCTAGTAACATGGCTGTTAAGTGAATCTGGATTCCCTATTGACTTTGTCAGAGGGCCAGAAAATATGATCACATGACTCTGGCACATTCAGCCAACATAATACATGCCAATTGCCAAGTGGCCGAATTTTGATCATGTGACCATGGAGAGGCTTCATTTGTTGTAAGCATAACAATTAGTCAAAATTTATATTTTTCTGGTGCTGTTGTAACTTTGAACAGTCATTAAACAAATGATTGTAGGTTGAGGACTACCTGTATGGTCTAATACCTGTTTGATAGCAGTGGGCATTGCTTATTTGGCTGAATAGTTGGGGGGATAAAATTTCTTACATAGAAAATGTTCAGTTAACTAAAACCAACCAGCCTTTTTGCATGAAGTTGCCAATTACTAGTAGCGAACCATACTAAAATTTTAATGATTAATATGTATTCTGAAATAGCTGGTATAATTCTATGCAAACAGGTCTTTTTAAATTATTTTGACAGTTTCTCCTGCTTTTCCTGAAGATGTTAGATGGAACTAATGTTTCAGTGACAGCAGTGAAAAAACAAAATTGAGCTCAAAGTCTGGATTAGATTTGCATGACGCTCTGAAGTTATCCATACTTGGTGATCACATGATTCTTGTTTTTAAGAATTCTTAGCCAATATTCTCACTGAATTTCATTTTACTCAACCCCCCCCCTTTCCCCAGTTTCTAGGCTGAGGTGACAGAGTTATAGTTTAGAGAAAAAGGCATTTGAAGTTTGGATTACACTTTTATGCCCTGAGAAAACTAATGTCCAAGGTCACCAAGATCAGAAACAAGATCAGCAACACTGGCTGATTAGCAAGTGAATTCACAACTTCCTGGTGGACAATTGCATAAATAAAGTATCTAAGTACTTCCCAGTATTTACTACTCAGAAGACAGACTTTTTCAATAATAAAGCAATATTGCAAAGCTGTAAATGATTACAATCTTAGCTCTTTTATCATTGGTTTGGAGTGACTGACAAAAGATTGCTTAGGTGTGAGCATATGTTTGTGTCTCGCATAGTAGTTCTCAAATCAGTAAGAATGCCTTTAGCATTTGCTGGCTGACAAATATAATTTGCATATATTTTCATATTAACCATCTCCATCTCCATATATATTCTAGGGGATGAAACGAAGATTGCTATAGCTTTATGGAGCCTCATAAGAAAGATTTATTATGTATGAGGCATTAGTGCCAGATGAATGTTTAATGAAAGGGTTATCTCTTAGACTTCACATCTGTGGAATCCATGACCTTGTAGGCAACAGCTGTTGAAATTTCCTTACCTATGCAGTTAATATAAACACAAGAGACAAATTCTTTTGTAAATCTGCCCTTCCTAGGTTACATGATCTTCAGGATATTGTCTAAAGCTTGGTTTACATAGCACATGAAACCCTAAATCCCAAACACAATTGCTTTGTTCAGAAAAATGCTACGTGCAAAGAAAAAGAATAGGCCTGCATAAATATTCAGTTAAGAAATTTAATTAAAAGATGACCTATTTGATTTAATGATTCAGTCCAAATTTCTGAAAGCATCAAATCAAATTGCATAGCTCTGATGCATTTTGGAAATTTTTGAATTCTATTGCACAACCTAAAATAAACCATATAATGATTTTCAGAGATAGCCTTTTTTCTACAACATGGTAAATCACAGACCATAGAATACCATTTTAATGTATCCATTTCTCTCAAAGGTATCAAGAGCAGATAAAGTGGTGTCTTCCATGGAATTTGAGTTAAAATCCCTGTAATTACTTTCTGTTGGCCACGATGAAGGTAGCTTAAATTGGAAATGAAGGTATTAGGTTGTTTGTATGGAACAAAATGCATAATGTTGTTATCTCAATTGTATCGGGTAGTGGTAGCTTTCATATTATAAATAAAATAGTACAAAGGATGGCTGAGACAACATTTGGAGGAGTTTGGAATGATTGAAAAATCAAAGGATGCTATAGCTTTTTTGTATCTCTTTCTTCTCTTTGTAACACTATTCCTCTTGGCTGCAGAATGTGGAGCTTGTAGAATGCATCAGGTCCATTGGGGATTTATTATGTGAATGTACAGATCCCCAAAATGAATGACATAAAAATGTTGGCTTTTTTAATATTTTTTTTAATCAGAATGAAGAAAGTTTAAGGGGAAAACTTAATACCTTAAGTCTTAATGCCTCTCTTGAAAGCGTAGGCTTTCCAAGCCACCCAAAACCTGAAGTGGCCCTTGTTCAATAAAATCTACTTGAGATCTGTCAAAAGAGGCTGAAGAGATATCATTCTATTACAGGCTCATGAAAGTCCTCTGGCCCGATTTTCTGAAGAACAGGAATGATTTGCTTTTGTCCATTAAGAAAAATGGAATTAAAGGCCTGGAGACTAAAACATATGAAGAACGATTGCAGGATTTGGATTTGGCTAGTCTAGAGAAAAGAAGGACATGATAGCAGTATTCCAGTATTTGAGAGGTTGCCACAAATAGGGGAGAGGGGCAACTTATTTTCCAAAGCACCAGAATGCAAGACAAGAAACAATGGATGGAAACTAATCAAGGAGAGAAGCAAGAATTAAGGAGAAACTTCCTAACAGTGAGCACAATTAACCAGTGGAACAACTTGCGGTCAGAATTTGTGGGTGCTTCATCACTTGAGTTTTTAAGAAGAGACTGGACAGTCACTTGTCTGAAATGGTATATGGTCTCCTGCTTGAGCAGTGGATTGAACTAGAAAACCTCCAAGGTCCCTTCCAGCTCTATTCTAATTGAATTGATTCATCTGTCTCCCTGTCTTCTTTTATTGATAGCCATTCGGGCAGTATCAACCTTGTAATTTCCCAAGCTGGGACACAGCTTTTGTTTGAGTCCACCTCAACTCAACATGACCATAACATTGTTTTCTTGAAGGGTTTCTTTCTGGACGGTAACTGTTTACCCAGACCATTTCCATAGAAGTCCACAAACTTAAAATTAAACTTAGCACTTACAGCTGAACAGCGCTTCTGACATTCCTTGCTATCTCCAGCTATCCTTTTACTACCTTTTACTACCCAAATAAAATCACCAAAAAGGGAGGAGTAATGGTGCTTTAGCTTAATTCTTTCTTCTTCTCCATCATGTCGATTTGCATAGTGTGTTTGCTTTTTCAGTTGTTATTTCCATAGTTGTTTATAGTATGGCTAACTTTTAAACCATACATTTATCAGGAGAATCATAGATAACTTTGAATAAGAACAGAATGTATGTTCTTCCTTGCATAAATAACAACAAAATAATTCCTGTCCATTTCCAGAATTTGATCTTCAG